TTGGGGGCCACGATGCTCATGAGATTTTCGTCCCATGCCGTCTATTTTCGCGCTCTTGGCGGCAACATCTAGCCAACTTTTCCGTCCCTTCCAACTTTTCTGTACAACGAGGAACATGGCCCACATGCGCGTATACCGCCGGCTCAGCTTCGCCAACATAATGCTTGATGGCTTAGAGACGGAAGCAACCACTCCTGCGGCCACGCCGGGATGACGACTTGCTTATGAGGGCAGTCATCTCCTTTCTTTCTCACCGGTCGTTCACTGTCTATGCAGCCAGGGAGCCACCCTACGATGCTTCATCACGTCAACCCGCCTCGGCTTTCCATCCCAGCCATTGAGAATGGTCCCTTCGGCTTACAATATCTGGTATGCTATAGCCGGTACGACAGGTCGAGGAGTCGGCAGGCTACTTCTTCACACCGCCAAAAAGGCGTTTGCTCTCCGTCTTTAGTGCCCCGGACTACTAAACCTTGTGCTTCCTGGCCTGGCAGGCAAGCAGGGTACTGGGCTGGAACTTGGCTGGCTATTCGATACCCACACCTCCTCCAATCGACTTGACATTTTTGACCGAATCACGACGACTGCGCGTCAATCGAATGATGCAACGCCATGACACTGATGCCCAAAACTGCTTCTCTGACTTCAGGTCCTTGGCCTTTGATTGATGGACCTGGAGTTGCTTGCGGGTCTAGAAGCTGGTCTCTTGTGAAACCATCGTGGTTTTGCTTTTTCGTGTGCTTTCTTTTTCCCACTACGGTGACTTGATGTCACTCGTCCACCCCAATGATATCAAAACCTCCGGATCGGCCACCCATAGTCCCTTCCGCGCGCGCATTCATCATTGGACTATCATACCGCCTCCTGGAAGTCTTCCCCGAGATGCAGTTGGACGAATTTGGCAGCCGCGCTACACACAAGTTGCTTCTGCGGCATCGTTCCGGTTATTTTATTTGTCGCCTATCTCGGCCAAACATTTCCACCAACATATCCCATGATGCCTGATAGGCCGCCAGCTCGCCTTGGCAGTCTTTGATCGGCCTTTGCGAATGTCAGTGGGCGGCGGAGATCTTTTCAGCTCGGACATAGCAAAAGAGACCCCCCTGACCGACCCCGTCCCGTGACAGAATCACTATGTCTGCTGAGGTGACCAATGGAGACGCTAAACCTATTCACACGCCCCGAGTCCAAGGCACAGGCTCTGCCCGGAAAGCCATATCCACCAAGTATGCATCCAAACATGTGCCCGACGTGGGCACCATGTACGTAGCTCGATGCCGCCATAAGTCCAGGATGCGCCGATCAAGTAGCCTGTGTCCCAAGGTTCTAGCCACGCGAGTTGGACCGTGTTTGCTTTGTGTGTGCTGCTCACCGCTAGATCCATCTCGAGAGGTATCAATCCGACCTATTCTAGCCGGCTAGAAATCGTCCCGTGCCGCCCGCGCCGAGGCCAAATACTCTCCTCCATCCACTCTTGGGTGAGACGTTGTGCAGTAGAGACAAAGTAGACATTTCAGCATACTTCCATCTCACATATTGGATGACATGTGAAGTGGACTAAGCTGCCTATTGGCCAATCGCATCAGAAAGCCTGGGAGTTTGATCAATGCCTGGTTTCACGAGACTGCATGACAGATGCATACTGACTTGACTCTGGCCCAACGTAAAACTCCGGGAGCGAAAGCGACGAATAAGGCACCAGTCTCGGTCGCTCAGAAAGACGGCTGGTTTCTAGGTCTCGCGCCTATAATAGGTACATGGACATGCATATACTTTCTCGCAAAATGACTGGAGCATAATGGGATCTATTATCGCGCAACCCCCGCTTGAGCCCGCCCTACCTCTCTTACTGCCGCTACTAATTGCTACCTACCTCTACTAGCGACGATGGTGTGGGCGTGGACCTGGCTGCCACTAATGCCCGGCAGAGGGTATGCATCAACTGTACGGAGTACATACGTGCCTCGCACATGCAGCAGGGGTCGAGGGCAGGACTAGGGTCCCCGGGAATCCTCGTGTCAAACGAACGTGCGCGATACCAATACCTACATTGCAAACACAGTAATGCCGTCCCCGAATGCCATGATTACGGAGTATTTAGAGCGTGTATTGCCACGTCCACATGGGAGAATCCACCGACACCCTTCCCCCCGGTTCCAAGGGTCCATTAAGTTCTAGGTATCTGAGGGGTTTTCATCTGGCCATTTATTATTCCCTGCTTTTATCTGTTGAGGATAAGGAAAGAAATATTATTAAGGAGCGGTTTACAGACCTCCGGTTTTTTCCTCTCCGAGCAACAACAGCAACAGCCCATTTCTCCCTACCTTTCCTCGAGAGTCGATTCCCTAAGGGGTGACCTGTACCGAAACCATGACGGTCCCTTCAGTTGTCCCCTTAGCCCATCTAAATGGCAAGGTGGAAAAGCATGCCAACGGAACTACCAACGGCAATGGTAGCCATGAACCCCTCCACGTTCTCACAGGCAGCGAGGCATTGCGGCGCATCCGTGAAGGCAGCCTTACCGTGGAGGCGTATGCACGAGCTCTGCTCAACCGCATCCAGGCTCATGATGCTGCGGTCAAAGCCTGGGCCTACCTCGACCCGGCGCTTGTTTTGGAGCAAGCCAGAGCCTTGGATAGTATTCCTGAAAAGGCGAGAGGTCCCTTACATGGACTCCCCATTGGAGTGAAGGACGCAATCTACACCAAGGGTAGGTATCTCTAGACTCGAGTCCTGGTGATACCCCGTGGAGGTGTGATGATTTCTTTGGTGCTGATACACTCTGGTTTAGATATGCCCACGGAGCACAACTCTGAGATTTACAAGGGGAGCTTCCCCCAGGTCGACTCTGCGTCAATAATGATTCTTCGTGAGGCTGGCGCTCTCATTTTTGGTAGGTGATTCCACTGACGGGCATGGTGGACCCTTTTTTACTAATAGGGTTGTTCTGAAAGGCAAGACGGTTACTACCGAGTTTGCTGCCATCACTATTGGCCCGAAGACGATGAACCCACACTCCCCACACGAGATTCGATCCCCGGGAGGCTCTTCGTCCGGCTCTGCTGCAGGCGTTGCCGACGGCCAGATCCCCGTGGCCCTTGCTACGCAGACGGGGGGCTCGACGATCCGTCCAGCGAGTTACAATGGTATCTATTGTATCAAGCCCACCTGGAATGCCGTTTCTCGTGAGGGCCAGAAACTGTATTCTCTATTGCTTGATACCCTGGGATGGTATGGCCGCAGCGTCTCAGACCTGGTTCTTCTCGCCGACATCTTTAGCCTTGAGGATGATGAGCCAAGCACCTTCAACGGCATCCGGGGAGCCAAGTTCGCCGTATGCAAGACAAACAACTGGCACAAGGCCAGCGACGCCACACGCCAGGCTCTTGCCAAGGCAGCGGCTTTGTTGAAGGCTCACGGCGCCATTGTTGAGGACTTGGAACTGCCACCGTCTTTCGAGCCATTGACAGACTGGTATTTGACGGTTCTGGAGACAGATGGTGCTACCACATTCCTTCCAGAGCACCGGGTGGCAAGGAGCAAGCTTCACGAGTCATTGGCTGTCTTTATTGACAAGCCGGCTTACACCAGGAAGCAAACACTGGCAGCGCAAGACGGGATTGCTGCTTTGCGGCCTGAGTTTGACGCCATTGCGTCGCAATACGACGCAGTACTTACGCCGAGTGCTGTCGACGAAGCTCCCTATGGCCTAGAATATACTGGAGACGCCGTCTTTTGCGCTGACTGGACGGTAAGTGCGATGATCCATCACAAACCTTGCATTACCCCATCCTCCCTTGCCGTGATATCACACTAGGCTTGACAAAAGACAATCACTCTACGTAACACCATTGACTGACGTCAACGCAGGCTCTTCATGTTCCAGTAGTCAACGTCCCCGGTTTCCAGGGTCCTTCGGGCATGCCGGTTGGAGTTTCACTTGTGGCCCCGCGGTTCCGCGATCGCCACCTTCTCAGGGTAGCCGAAGATGTTGGTAAGATCTTTGAATTCGAAGGTGGTTGGAAATCCAACATATTGTAAGATTTCAGCTCCGTGAGAGGGCGCAAGCGATGGGGTGCTATTAATTGACTTTACACGCAAATTTGTTTCTTCTTCTTCTTCTTCTTCTTCTTCTTCTTATTTTTGGGGGATAAAATTGTGTGCCATGACTCGCTCGAGCCTGTATTGTGGTTCACAACGGATCGATCAGACAAAAAAAAGATCAGGCGGGAGAAATGGTCGCAAATCAATGGATTATGTGGGCGGCACGCCCGGGAAAACAGCACGAACTTGTCATGATTAGTACCTCTTGCCGGAGAGTACTAATCTGACATTGAAAACTAGTTACTACACATGGGCGCCTTTTGAATGGAGAGGTTTGCCTCTGAAGTTGAAAAACAATTAATAATATATTTTTAGCCTGCCGTTGAAGGTCGAGGAGAATTCATGCCTCTAGTCATCTACTTATGGTCTGCTTTCTTGTTTATTTCCACCAGTTACATCCGAACTGGGGCTCGCTACCCGCGCCAGTAAATTGGCAGACATCCAGGCACTCAATGTATTGTTTTTAGTACATCAGCCAGCGGCCAAGAGTGACAAGGGCGGAACCCGCGGTAGGGGGATGGGGAGGGTGAGAGGGGGCGGAGGAGACGGAGGAGACGGAGGGGGTGGGTAGGAGAGGTGAAGGCGCTATTTGGGGAGGAAAACAGCGGGAACTTTTATTTTGTCACAGCAGACCATTCATTATGAGACACCAGTATTCCTTTTACAGCGGGATCCAAACACTTGATAACCGGCCCGGGGATCCGGGGGGTTTGGGCTGGTCCCGAAAACGTTGCGGAAAAAAAAAAGTAGTGATAAAAGACAAGGAGAGGAAGGTAGAGAGAGAGAGGGAGGGAGAGTGGGTGGAAATAAAATAAATAACTAAGACCAAGTGAAATTCATGTCTGTATGCGGTTTATGCTGAATCTGAATGAGAATGCACAAAAAACAAGTCGCGGTTATCGCTTTAGAGGGAAGGCGTTATCGATACATTGGAGGAACTGGAAATTCGGTTAGCTGCTGCCGGGAACATGAGGAAAAGAGATGGATAGAGGGGAACCAAAAAGAGAGACGGGATGATTAAGAAGGAAAGGGAAGGCAGGGGGTATGGTGCAAGAGGAGGCTGGAGCTGCCGGATAGGGAGGGGAGGCCAGGCTCGGGCAGCTACGGGTATTAGAGGTGGAAACTTACATCTTCAGCGACAAGGCCCTGATTGGTGAGATAACGACCCATGCCCTTGACGAGCTCGACCTGCTCGTCGACAGTCAAGCTCGTGATGGCGGTCTCGAGGACGGTGCCGAGGCGGACCTGGTGCGTCTCGATAAAGGAGTGGTAGTAGACGTAGGCGAAGAAGCCCATGATGAACTGGCAGTCCATGCGGTCCGTCATGCCACCATGGCCGGGGATGGAGTCGCCAAAGTCCTTGATCTTGAAGGAGCGCTTGAGACCCGAGGCGAAGAAGCCGCCGAAGGGAGCAATGAGAGAGGCGAACGTGGCCAAGACGAGGGCGTGGAGCTGCATGGGTGCGAGCGTAACGGAGAAGGAGGTATTCGGCGGGAGGAAGAACAGCTGGGGAAGCTCGTAGGTGTGGGGCAGGAAGACAGGGTTGACGTCGCACTGGAGGCCAGTAAAGATGTTGGCGCCAAGGTCCTGTTGTTTAAAGTTAGCGACGGAGCTGTGTTATTTGGCTGTGCCTTTCTTGACAATGCCCAGATCTTGGGCTTGGAAGAGGACGGGGACAAACTCACGTTGACGGGGCAGATAAAGTATTTGGAGCGCTTCATGAGGTTGACGAGCACGACAGCCCAGACCAGAGTCATGATCCACGCACCAACGAATCCCTCGACAGTCTTCTTGGGGGAGAGCTTAATGAGCTGCGTGCGGCCGAATGTGATACCGCAGACGTAGGCAAAGATGTCGTTGGTGATGACGAGTGCGGCTGGAAGGAAGAACCATATCATTCCCTCAAAAACGTTATTCATGATGAAATGCGCCTGGCACACAATGAGGTACAGAGCCATGTGTGTCCAAGCGAAATTTGTGAATTGGAATTTGTAGTGACCGGCCGAGAGAGATGCGACGAAGATGACGAAACCTGGATTGCAGAGCTCGAGTTAGCTACTAAGGTCGGGGACTAATGAGGGGGACCAATGAGGGGGGTCTCGCAGCATCTAGCTGATCAAGTTTACTGACCAAAGACATAGAGAATAAAGCTAATGAAGCGATGGTGGGTAGCAAGAGGCAGAAGCACCTTGTCGACCAGGACAATGTGCTTGAAGTAGTAGATGACGGTCTCTCCGTAGAGGAAGTACATGGTGGTCGCGAGCCAGTACCAGTTGAGGTTCTTGGTGGAGTTTAGAGAGCGGGCTCGGCTGGGGATATTGGCGATTGCAATGACCTCCTTGAAGGAGATGATCTGGACAATGGTAATGACGAGGATGATGTAGATGTGGCCCATGAACAGGGCAGCGAAGAAACCGGCGATCATGATGAAGGTCCAGACTGTGCGCGTCCAGAAGTTGGCCTTTTTCTTCTCGTAATCTGCCTTCTTCTGCTTCTCAGAGGGGGGTTTCTGCATTTGGTGAAGCGACTGATTAGCTACCGGGACTCTGGAGGTGTCATGGTCAACAGGATTGATTTCTCACTCACCTCTTGGACGGTGGACAGCTGAGCCTGGTGCTTGGTGGGAGCTGCATCGTCGCTGAGGTCGCTGAAACTGGATCTACGGCCGTCCGAACCAGCGGACTGGCCATTCGCCTTTTGGTGAGGGAAGCGGATGCCCCTCTTGCCTTTGGAGCCGGCCATTCTGGCGGATGAGAGGCTCTGGGAAGACGGGGGGAGCTGAGTCGGAGTTTGGGGAGCTCAAGCTGCGAGCGCGCGGTCGCAGGTAGTCAAGATGGAATCGAAGCTCGCTGAAGAATGGATCGCTCGTTTGTGGACGGCAGAAATCGCAGAAAGAGGGTATCGAGTGCGGATTCTCGGTAGGGGATTGCGCGCGTGCCCGTTGGCTTGTGGCTTCAATGTGGATGTTCGATCTTGGCTCGGGGGGGGGTATTTTTTTTATGGGGGAGTTGAGGAGCGTGTGTCTTTTTTGGGGGATTCTGGGCCCCTCTCGGAGTGGTGGGAAGATGCAGGAGATGGGATGCAAGGAGAGGGAACGGCGGAATTGGCGACGACGGCTCAATTCAGAACGTGATGGCCAGGGATGATTAAGTCTGCGGGATGGACGGATGCTGGGGGAGATAGATGGAATGGAAGAGAAGTCCGAGGTGGTGGTGCTCTGGCTGGTGTCGTGTCGTCAAGCGTCCCCAGCAGAGCCAAGCTTAGGCTGACCTGGAGTACGTAGAAGTCCGCAGCAGCTGGCGGAGACACACACACACACACACATAAACGCACGCACAGGCACATGCAAAGCAGGACGTTGGGCGCTGGTTGACGACAGAGCGTGAGGCGCAGTCCGCATCGGGCCTAGCGCCCCAGCACGAGCCACGCCTTGTTCCGTGGACTCGTACCTTGGATGTACCTCAGTACTCTCAGCGAGGTGCAGGGTAGCTGGGTCTTCGTGGTCTGCACATATCGGATGAGCAGGCTCTCTCTCTGCTCATTTCCTCCTCGCACGGCCATTGTCTAGCGATTAATCGTACGAGGGGCAGCCCAAGTTGCCCACCATGGACCTGTGTCATCATGCAGATGGTTGAGGGTGGTGGGTAACACCGGGACGACGGATGACGATGACGGCAACCGGGACCAGCAAAGCACCGACTGGGCCTTGGCTGGACGCGAAACCAATGGAACTAACACTATCAGCATGTGGCTCAAACGATAGCGCAGTGTAGCGTCGTGATGTCAGTGCCCTGGCTGATTATTTGCGGCAAGAGCAATTGGTTTTTTCGTGCTGCTGCGCCACACTCGGTAGCTCCCATGCCGCCACAATTGAACCCGTACCAAAGTACATCCCCAGTGCCGAAGTGGGGGTTGTGGCTTCTCTTCACGCCGAGACAGGCTGAACCGTGAATATCCTCCACACGGTAAACAGAAGAGAGAACAAGCAAGGGCCAACCAACAAACAACCCGTTCAACTCCCTCTCTGACAACGCCGGCCAACACCCCGTCTGCTTCCTTTCTATCGAGTAGAGAAGCCATGCATTTGCGCACACAACCACCTCCATGAAGCATGGATCTCGACGACGAGTTTGGCGACGATATTCTGGATGATCTCAACGACTCCACCCTTCAAGAACTCGAGAACAATGCCCTTCTGTTGACGCAGACGCGGAGGGTGCCCGACCAGCCCTCGTTGACGAAGCCTGCTGCACCCCCCCAGCATACCACCAACGAGTATGCCTGGGACGAAGACGAAGACCTTGATCACTCCGAGGTGATCAATGACGGTGGCGAGCCCGTTGGCCATCGCCCCATCACGAGCAGCCTCCAGCAGTGGCAGCACGCTCGCCGTCCTGTCCCTCCCCGGCCGAGTCCGCAATGGAATAACGCCATCGACCCTGCGAGACGGGGCGGCGCTGGACTTCCCCAGCGTCAAGCGCACCCCGGCGTTGGAGGGCTCAGCCAGCAGGCTGGACTTGGTGCTGGGCCATTACAGCGGCCTCAGTTCCCGCAGCCTTCTCCCGGCATCAATCGGCCGCTGCAGTCGAGCCAATTCGCCAAACCGTCGATCCCGCCACCGAACCGTCCCACCTCTTCCCAACAAGGCCAGCCAAATGGCAACGCATTCGCCGCGTTGCAGCAGCGAGTCCGGGCGTTGGAGGTCGAGCTGAACGCGGCTCGTGGTGAGGCTGCCATAATCCGCGCCAAGGCCAATAAAGCAGACCAGGAGCATTATGACGAGGTGGCTCGTCTCCGTAAAGTCAACGATGAGCACGCAGCCCGCCAGGCACGCCTGGTGGAGGAGGCTCTCGCCGCCGAGAAGCTTGCATTGGCCGCCGAGAAGTCTGCGAGCACCGAGTTGGAGTTCCTCCAGCAAGATATGCGGGAAGCCAACTCCAGAGCCAAGCAAAAGGATGTGACCTCTCGCGGGAAGCAGGCAGGGGTCGCCACAACGCCCAAGAAGGCTGTCAAGACCTGGGGGCTTGCAGATGGGTTTGAGGACGTGGAGATGGTGAGCCCTAGCAAAAGCCAGGGCCGCGGCAGACATACAGGCTCCATTGCCATTGACCTGGGGGAGAGGACACCAACAAAAGCGAAGAGGAAACGGCCTATGGTTGACAGCCCAGTCATGGCCCTGGATACGCACACGGAGGAAGCACTCGCAGCTATGGACCAAGGACATGCAGCAACACCACCAAACCCTCCGATGGCACAACCTAAACAGGACCAGAATCAAATACCCCAGGCCCCGTTCGAGTTTCTCCAGCTGATCCTTGATCATGCGGCCTTCCATGACGAGCCTCCTACATTTGATGTCCTCTCCCGTTACACGTTCCCCACCGACCCGTCGACAACCTTGGCAACATTGATCTTCCGGAAACTGCCTACCATGGGCAACCGCCACCAGCCAATGCAGCTCCTCGTGGACTTTGTGCAGACAATCACGGGTCTGTGGAGGGCCTGCGTCGAAGACTCATTCTGGGAACCCATCAAGTATCTCGTTGCTCTCGTCGAGTTTACCTTGCAGCTGCATACGATTGATATCGCACCCCTGATTCTCCCAGCACTCCTGCCCTGCGCACAACCGAGCGTGTTCAACCTGGCAGAGCTGCGGCACAAGCTCCCTGAGGAGCAGCTCGCCAAGAGCGACGAATATCTGGCCCTCGCCCAGAATATTGATAGCACCAAGATTTTGACGCTACTCTATATTACCGCCCTATCCTCTCTTACATTGGAGATGCCGGAGGCGAGTGGGTTCCAACCGAAGATTGTCGACTTTTGGCAACATCTGAATCTGGACACTGTGGCTGTTCTCCTGACACCGAGGCAGCTGCCGCAAGATGTCATACTTATCCTTGACCTGCTCGCCACATCCTCGCTTCCAGACTCCATAGGCCCCATCACGCCTGAACGGGAACCGCCCTTTGTTGCTGCTTTTGTCATGGAGCGTGTGTCCATCAAGCTGGTTGAATCGACACGATCCATCAACATCTCCGCCGAGGATAAACGAAAGATTCGAATTGCTGCTCTGCGGACCCTGATTGCATTTGCGCGCTATCCCTTTGGAGCAATGCAGCTTGCGTCTCACGATAATGTTATCCCAAGGATTGTCGCCTGCCTTAGTGGTGCCATTGATGATCTCTATGACCAGGACATGTCCTCTACGCTCGTTTCCCCCGACAACGATGACGATGACCTAGTTGAAGTCTCAACATCCTCAATACAGCTGACTCGAGTCATATCGCAATGTGTGATGCTGCTCCACACCCTGGTCACGGATCAGAATACTGCCAACGTGGTCAACATCAGCCAGAAACTATCTACATCGCATGGGGGGAGCCAGCGCTATCTGATCGCATTGGGGAGGCTGACATTCGCCGAGGAAGACCTGGTGATGGAGAGCGGCATTGAGAGCGAGATTGTCGAGGCGGCGCACGAGCTGTTAGAGATGGCCGTGACGCCGGACGAGGGTGAACTAGTGAGCGAGGCTTTTGGATCATAATGGTGGTTTACTATTCTTGGACTGAGCAAAAGTATCACGCTATCACAGACATAATAATCAGGTATAATGTATCCTTTGTTTAGAGCGGCCATATTTATAAACAACAAGTAGCGCTATAAGTAGCTTCAAAGGACGGACAGATGGACACCTGCCGTCCGTTTCAGACATATCTGGCAGTCTGTAATATACTGATACTTCTGCACAACACTCCTCGTCCCACCTATCAATCGCTTTCACACCAAGCACGCCTATTCATACAATTCATTCTTTGAGTCAAAGAGCGGCGACAATGTCAGCCTAGTTGAAGCTGACATGTACATGGTCCCTATCCAGAGCAATCCGAATCAGCAAAGACGGCACTCATATCAATCGGGGAAAAGGGGTTTCGGAGCTCTGCCTACCAGTGGTTCTGGGTGATACTGTTACGGTCCTCCATGGTGCGCCAGTTCTTCCAGGCGGTCACCTTGTCCCGCGACGGGTTCCAGATCTTCTGGCCCCAGATGACATACTTGACATCGTTGGCAGAGGCGTGGTTCATGACCCATTCGGCGATGTCATCTCCAGAAAGAGTCGCCTGCTACAAGATTTCCCAACCTCATCAGTCTACACGTGGGCCCAGGAGAAAGAACAGAGAGTAGAGTCAGGGAGAAGGAAAAGAGAGTCAGGTCAGACTTACACCGCCACCGTCCGAGATCATAAAGTCAATCGCCTTGCCGCAGCAGTGCTCCGAGTCCCCGGGGCACGCGCAGTCCCTCTTGCACCCAATCTCCCTCACCCGCCCGGGGAATTGGCCCACGACGGTCCTGGCCCCGTCCACGGCCACCTTCTGGCACGCCCCGACGGGCGGGATCGAGGCGTCCGTGTACCCGCCGAAGACGCTCCCGGCCTTGCTGCAGCACTTCATCTGGCCCGGCCCGGGGCACAGGTTGGCCGCCGAGGTGCCGCCGCAGTCCGAGGTCCAGTTGCACGCCGAGGCGTCGCCCTTGCACTTGGTCTTGGTGCAGCAGAGGATGTCGCTCGCGTCGGCCGGGCAGGCGCCCGTGGTGCTCGTGCCGCCGGACGCTGTGCAGTCCGACTTGGCGATGCAGACGCCTGCGAGGCCGGAGGGGCCGTAGCAGGGCTCGTTGACGGCCGCGAGTGCGAGGGGGAGGAGGAGGAGGGGGAGGAAGGAGACGTGCATCGTGGGCTTTTCTTTGTTTGAGTCTATATGTAGTTTAGGGAAGAGGGTGTATTGGCTTGAGCTGTCGATGTTGCTGAGGGTTTCGATGTTGGGATCAAACTCCCGTTTATATACACCATCCCATCACACATGGTTACTTTCTGCGCCGACTCCTACGAGGCACACTCTGCAGGTACACCCGCTGGCCCCATCCTTCAAGTTTGGATGACGATATGGGCCCTTTGGCGGACTTCAGCTGAAGATTGGGCATGACAGTCGCGGATTCTAGCGGCGTCACGGCAGTTTCAGGATGTGTGGGGAGGGGAGAGAATGCGAGAAACACGGGCGGCGAGGAGCCTTGCCCATGTTGCAGGGCTGGGCCGGCTCCTTCCAGCGTCGAGCCTGCAGAAATGCAACCAATTGTCCAATATATAGCCCGAAGGACGCCTGCCCACCGTCCGCTGAGGCTGCCTCCCTCGATTCAATTGAGAAGGTCGAACGATATCCACAACTACGGCGGACGGGATGGACTTTGTCCCGTCTGCACGACACAAGACGAGAGCCTGTTTTACCAGCAGCATGACACAGCTCGCAGTGGTCGCACCCCTGCAGGCGTTTTATGGCTGTTCAGCTCTCGCCGATCCAAGGCGAGAGCCAGACTGCCCCCTGCATAATGGTGCAGCTAGTGGTCCGACTGCAACGTGGAGACAGAAGGGTAAGGCGTTCTCTGTCTATATAGGGCTTGCGAGCATGACTCCGGCATTTAATTTAATTTAAACTAGCTTTGACTGAGCTGCCGGTTTGGGGAAGCTGTACGAACCTGATAAAGGTGAGCTATACCACGGCTGCTTGCCACGCTCGTGAAACAGTCTCCTTACCCCTCCCGCTTCTTCTGTCCTGTGGCAAGGCGAGTTGGGGTGGACAGAAGAGAGAAAGGATGCCTTTACGGGGAACTTGCAAATGAAGGGATTGGGAGAAATGCTAAGTGCCAGTTGGATGTAGTGGGGGGAAGAGGAGAGTAGGAGTCGTCACGTTGAGCTAGCCACTGCAGTGTGCAAAACAAACTTGACATGAGGATACTACTCTCATCTTTTCTAAAGACTATCACTACTCTTCTTCAAATAACAAACGAGCGAGACCTTATAGCCTCAACCACCGCCTGTTGTGGACAGAAATATAGGACCAAACAAAGTAGAGCCAGCTAGTAAGAACAGGGAATACCATTACTTGGGGGTGTCGAGGCCAGGACATGAAAAAATGCAATGTGATACTTCGATCTAGCCAATCCAGAATAACCTAACGCTAAGTCATTATTCTCTGTAGCCCTCTTCAGGCCTATTCCGCCAGCGTCATTTCGGGCGCCGGCTGCACGAGGAGTCGAAGAGAGGATCTCATGACATTCTAGTCTTCCTTGTGTCTCTCTCCTGTGCTTCAATGTTTCCATCTTAATTAGATTCTGAGGAGCCTGGGTGTAGTAGCCACGGGCTTTAGAAGATTTCCGAGGAGACCCCCAACTGCGCTGCCGACGGTGCCAAGAGCATTGCCAGTCTGTGTGACGACATTGTTCAGTGTGCTCTTGCCATCAAGGGTGCAGGCAAGGGATCCAAGGATACCAGTGCATGCCGAAGTGACTGGGGTCGCAATCTGGCCGCCGGCTTGAGCGATGGTGGTAGCAGCTTGGGAGGCTTGGTTGATGTTGCTAAGTACGTCCGCAATGAGGCTAGCTGGGACGCTTGGAGTTGACGGAGCCAAGCTGCCAACGATGTTTGAGAGCGTAGGCCCGAGGCTTGGAAGGAGATTTGGCAAAGTAGCGTCCGGGATCGAAACCAAGGGAAGGTTTGGTAGTGTGGGGATGGGATTGCTAGCAAGGTTACCGACATTTCCGAGAAGGTCTGCGAGCGAAGGCGTTTGGAGATCGATGCTGATGTCACCCAATGAAGGGAGGCTCAGATCGGGGAGGGTCAGGTCAGGAAGGCTCAGGTTGGGGATATTGGCAAGTGCGCTGGTCAGATCCAGGTTGTTGGCTGGGTTGCTAGCGAGATCGAGAAGAGCACTTCCCAAGCTAGGCAGAGCATTGGTCAGATCAGGGATGACATTGACTAGGGTGTTGCCCAGGTTGTTGACGGCATCTCCCAGGCCAGGAACTGCGTTGTTCAAGCTGTTGCTCAGATCGGGGATGGTGTTTGCAACGGTAGGGATGACGGTGTCGATACCATTGCCCAAGTTGCCGAGGGCATCACCAAGGCTGGGGACAAGGCTTCCAAGCGTGCTAGCGAGATCAGGAACGCCATTGCCTAGAAGGTCGGCAAGGTTTGGAACGGTATTGCCCAAGGTGTTGCCAAGATCGGGAACCACGTTGCCCAAAGTGTTACCAAGATCAGGAACCACGTTGCCCAAGGTGTTACCCAAAATGCTGCTGAGGTCAGGAACGCCATTGCCCAGAAGGTCTGTGAGGTCTGGAACGGTATTGCCCAGAGTGTTGCCGAGATCAGGAACCAAGTTGCCTAATGTATTACCAAGATCGGGAACCAAGTTGCCTAATGTGTTACCCAGAGTGTTGGTGAGATCAGGAACTCCATTGCCTAGAATGTCGGTCAGGTCTGGAAGGGCGTTGCCCAAAGTGTTACCAAGATCAGGAACGTTGCCCAAGGTATTACCTAGGATGTTGGTGAGGTCAGGAACGCCATTGCCCAGGAAGTCGGCAAGGTCTGGAACGCCGTTGCCAAGGACACTACCCAATGTGTTGGTCAAGTCTGGGACAACACTCCCAAGGGTGTTGGTGAGATCTGGTGTGACGTTGCCGAGGGTGCTGCCCAGATCGGGCAACAAATCGCTCAACGCGCTGCTCAGGTCAGGGAAAACTGAACTCAGATCAGGAATGGTGACGCTGGGGAGGAGCGTAGAAGGATCCGGTACAATGCCCGTAGCACCGCTGAGCAGGTCTCCAAGGCCGGAACCAAGAGTTCCAACGGGGCTGGTCAGACTGGGAATTAGGGTGCTCAGATCGGGAAGAAGTAGGTTAGGCAACGCGTTGTTGAGAAGAGATCCCAGAACGATCCCGAGGCCGTCAGCCGTGTTACCAAGTGTGCCAGTGAGTCCTCCAACAGTGTTACCGAGAGTGTTTCCGAGGTCGTCAACAGTGTTGCCAACCGTACCAGTGAGTCCTCCAACGGTGTTGCCCAGAGTATTGACGAGGTCATCAAGCGTGTTGCCAAGCGTACCGGTGACTCCTCCAACGGTGTTACCCAGAACGTTTACGAGGTCGTCAAGCGTGTTATCAAGCGCACCAGTGGATCCTCCCACGGTGTTGCCTAGAATGCCGGCAAGATCAGGAACAGTGTTGCCCAGGGTGTTACCCAGAGTGTTACCAAGGATATTCGTCAGGTCATCGACATTGTTGCCCAGAGTGTCAGTCAAACCAGGGAGAGTGTTGCCTAGGCCGTTGCCCAGGGTATTCCCGACTGTGTTGATAAGATCGTCAAGTGTGTTGGTCAGGTCTGGAAGAGTGTTGCCCAAAGTGTTGCCCAAATCGGGAAAATTGTTGAGGTCATTTCCAAGGATATTACCGAGCTGGCCCGCAACTCCGGGGACAAGGTTACCAAGGAGGCTTCCGAGATCAGGCAGGCCGAGGTTGCCAAGAGGCAGACTGTCGGGAAGGTTGGGAAGAGTCGGTATGGTTGGGATGGTGCCTGAATCTGGCAACGTAGGCGATGAGCCACCCAATCCTCCGAGGAGGTTGTCAAGAAGACCGGCAACACCAGTGAGGAGTTGGGGAACACCAAGAGTGTTGAGGAGGTTGGGGACACCAAGCACTCTCAGGAGGCGGGCAAGATCGAGGTTAAGGCTAAGACCAACGTCGAGGATAGGGCCGTCCACCAGGTTGGGGTCCAGGACATCAGGGAGACTGCTAAAGCCAGGCAGGCCCGGAATGCCTATTGGAAGGGTTGGCGTGCCTGGTGTTGTGGGGATTCCACTTCCTGGGATACTTGGCAGGCTACCCAGGCCACCGAGGAGATCAGGAAGACCAGTTCCAATATTACCCAAACCGCTGAGGAGATCTGGAAGAAGGCCCCCAAGGTCTGGCAAGGCCAAATTAGGTAGAGGATCTGGAATATTAAGTATGGTGCTCAAGTCGGGAAGTCCGCTTAGACCGTCAGTTAGGCCATCGAGACCGTCGGTCAGACCACCGAGACCGCCAAGCACCTGCGAAAGGTCGGGAATACCTGAAAGGAGGCTTCCCAAGAACAGTGAGAGGTACGGCAGCAAATCACCAGTGTTAGGGATCAGGCCGCCAAGGTCTGGAATGCTGAGGCTGGGGAGAAGGCTGTCCAGCAAGTCGCTCAAATCAGGAACTCCGGGAGTGCTTGGGAGGGTTGGTGAAGTGGGGATGCCACCGTTAAGGACGTTTCCAAGACTGGTCAAGTCGTACAACAGCTTCGAGAGACCAGGAAGACCTCCAAGCAGGTTGCCGAGGATACCGCTCAGATCGGGGAGTGGAAGATCAGTGATTGGAAGGCCACTGAGAAGCTCTCCCAGATTGGGGAGCGTGTTGGGGTTGGCCAAACCAGCCAGTAGCTGGCTGAGATCCGGAATGCCAGGTAGTCCGAGCAGGTCAGGCAGCAGGCTATTAAGACCAGGCAGACTCAAGTTGGGGATGAGCAGGCCTGAAAGAACATCGCCCAAGCCAGGAAGACCAGAAGGCAGTCCGGTTCCATAAGGGTCAGTCAAGTTCCCAAGCCCACCTCCGAGAAGGTTGCCGAGCTGGGTCAGATTGCCAACGACATTAGCAAGGTTGGGGATACCTGAGGCGATGCTGCCCAGGAGACCTGAGAGATCGGGAAGCTGGACGTTGGGAAGCGATAGGCCACTCAGGAGGTCGCCCAAGTTCGGCAACAGGTTGGGGTCGTCAAGGCTGGACAGAAGAGAGGTCAAGTCAGGAAGACCTGAAAGGCCGAGCAGGGTAGGGAGCAGGATGCTGAGGTCAGGTAAGCCCAGGTCGGGCAGGGTGGTGCCCAAGAGGTCTCCAAGATCAGGTAGATTGCCAAGAGCGTTGCCCAGGTTTCCTAGGGGATCCAATGCATTGCCGAGATCAAGGAGGTCGCCCAATGATCCAAGGATGTCGGAGGGGCTTGGTGCACCGCCGTCAAGACCGCTCAAGATACCACTCAGATCGGGCAGCTCAAGGTCAGGAAGGCTGAGGCCGCTGAGAAGCTGTCCGAGGTTGGGGATCAGGGTGGGGCTCAAAAGTGTCGACAGTAGACCACTCAGGTCGGGGAGATCTGGAAGACCAAGGGAGACAGAGAGCAAGATGCTGAGAGCAGGTAGGCTCAGATCGGGGAGAGGCTGGTCCAGGATATCTCCGGGATTTGGAATGTTGGGGAGATTCCCAAGGTCGGGAAGACCTCCGAGAAGGCCGCTTAGATCAGGCAGGTTGTTCAGCAGACTGTTAGGGTCAAGCAAGTCATCTAACGGGGTGCTAGGGTTGGTCAGGTTGCCCAAGAGGCCGCTTAGCACGTCACTTGGGTCGGTCAGGTTACCCAAAAGGTTGCCCAACTGGTCGTCAGGATCAGTCAGGCCGTTCAGCAAGTCGGTAAGGTCGGGGAGCGTGCTCAGTCCGCCAAGGAGACTAGTCAAGTCGGGAAGACCGAGTGAAGGCAGCAAGGAGTCGAACAGGGTGCTGACATCCGGCAGAGTGCTTGGGTCTAGTAGGCTGTAGAGAATACTGCCCAGGTCAGGAAGGCCGGGAGCAGTGAGGGCAGGAAGCAATGAGGTCAGGGCAGGCAGAGCCAGACCAGTCAAGAAGCTGTTGAGGTTCAAGGCATCGACAAGATCTGGCAAGCCGAGGCCGCCAAGATTTCCAAGACCGGATCCCAAACCTCCAAGACCATCGCCCAAACCAGAGCCTAATCCATCGAGGCCGGATCCCAGATCGCCCAGGCCTGAGCCCAAAGTGGCGAGTCCGGGAAGGAGGTAAGAAAAGTTTGGCAGCACCAATCCATTCAACAAGCCACCGAGGTAAGGAATTGCAAGATTCGAGAGTGTGAGACTACCGAGACCAGGGAGACTACCAAGGTCGGGAAGGCCTCCAAGATCGGGAAGGCCTCCAAGATCGGGGAGACCGCCAAGGTCACCTCCAGCACCATCGCCCAGTGCCGGAAGAAGCAGGCTGAACAGAAGAGGGCCGAGGCCTTCCAGACCATCAAGGCCGGGCAGACCGTCCAGGCCGGGCAGACCACCCAAGTTGTCGAGACTGGGGAAGAGGCTACCCAGGGAGAGAATGGGTAGATCAGGGAGGAGCAGACCAGACAGCTTCCCGTTGAAGTCGAAGCTGACATCGGTGAGGCCGCTAGGAAGCTTCTCGGTGCCAAGGCCAAAGTTCAGACTGGAGTTTCCGAAGGCGATGCTCCAGGTGAAATTTCCAGGGGTCGAACCTCCAGAGAGGCCATTGACGCCAGGCACACCGGGAAGCCCAGGAGAAGTGAACGGGTTGCTGGAACCAGTACCGGTATTCGTGGGGGCTGTGTTCTCACTACCAAAGTCGGGGAAGGTAATATTGCTATCCGGGGCGGTAGGAACCAGAGTGAAGAGGCTGTTGGGGAAGGCGCCAGAACCGCCATCGTAGAGTGCTGTGCTGCCAGTGCCCTCCATGCGGAACAAGCAGTTGGCACCGCCCTCGAGGAGGCAGATAATACGAATAGGCAGATATGTACCGCCGATACCCTTCACCACAGTAGTTGTAGCGGGACCAGCACGCTTACTCAGGCCAGAGGCAGAGTTGACAGAAACAATGTTAGCATTAGCACCATTGAAGTCCGACACAGCATTATCACCAGTCCAGATAAAGACACTACCCTCGGTACCAGGAGTGGAGATGGTGATGTCGCCATCTTCGCAGACGTAGATGAAACCCCTCAGGTGGTAGGCCAAAGGTTCATCGGCCGGGTTGGGAAGCGTGAGCAAGTCCAAGCCAACGGAGGCAGCCACAGGCTGAGCAGCTCCAATCTGGCTGGGGTCCATCTCACTCAGAGCCTGGTTGGTCTGATCTATGGCGTACAGACCTTGCTGGAGGCCCTGATCAGCATCTGCATTGGCACACTTGTCCGCAGAAGCTGTGAGGGTGCCCTCATCAGGACCATCGGGGCCGACATCGACACCAGGGTTGGTGCCATTCGCGCCACTATCGGGACCGTCCGTACCCTCATCAGGATCAACGGTAGGGTTCGTTCCTGTGTTTCCAGGGCCTGTTCCTGGAGTTGGAGGACGGCCAGTCGGGATGGAAGGGGCGATACCGGGGCCAACAACACCGCGGCCAGTCTGCGGGGGGTTGGGACCGGCACCAGGACCAATTGGACCAGGACCGCTGGGACCAGAACCGGGGCCACTGGGACCAGGACCGTTAGGACCAAGGTTGTTAGGGCCATTGGGAAGAGGGCCATTGGGACGAGGACCATTGGGCCGAGGACCATTGAGACCTGGGCCATTAGTACCGGGACCGTTAGGACCATTAGAACCAGGGCCATTAAGACCAGGACTGTTGGCACCAGGACCATTGGCACCCGGGCCATTGGGACCAAGACTGTTGGGACCAAGACGATCAGGACCATTAGGACTACCAGGGCCATTGTATCCAGGACCCTGAGGGCCATTATATCCAGGACCCTGAGGGCCATTGTATCCAGGACCCTTAGGGCCATTATATCCAGGACCCTTAGGGCCATTGTATCCAGGGCCGTTCGGGCCAGCACCGTTGGTACCAGCACCGTCGAGACCAACACGAGAGGGGCCTCCAGTAGGACCAGGGCTTGGTCGGGGGCTTGGGGCGACACCAGGACCGGCACGGGGGCCCCCACTGCCAACATGGATGCCACCAAGCATTGCGGGGGCAGGCTTGCCACCCTCATCGGCGCTGTCATCATCCTTATCCTTGTCCTCCTTTCCCTTGATGATGTAGATAACAACGGAGCTACGCTCGTCGTGGCCGCTTTCGTCTCTCCATGGTGGAAGGGTCACAGCAGGACCATCAACACCGCAAGGAGCGGTAACAGTGGGAACCTCAGGTCCTCGGTGTTTGTCAACAAGGACAACAGGGGTGGCGTAGGGGATTGGGTGTCCTCCAGGGCCAGTTGGCACAATGGTCTTGGTGATGCCAGGAGCCTTACCTGGAACAGTGACGACGGGGAACTTGTCCTCGAAGCCAGGAGGTCCGCACACAACAACAGGCTTCTCTCCATGCTTGTACGGAGGGAGGTGAATGTTGGGGCCACCGGGCTGGGCACCGTGGAGGACGTGGACGTCGGAATCTCCGAAATCACCAAAATCCTTGATGTCGCCCCAGTAGTCGCCCTTGCGGCCGCCATGTGGGATGGGAGGCTCCGTTGGGTGAGGAGGCTCACAAATGACTACTGTTCCCTCACAGTCCTTCTTACAACCCTTGGATGGATGCTGTGTCTCCACGGTGGGGTACTTGATGTGCTCCTTGACGGTGGTCTTAGTCACATAGGGAACATCAGTCGGCTCATAGCAGACCACGGTAGGAGGGCAATAATCGCATGATGGTGGGCGAGTCTCGGTCTTGGGTGGTGGCTTCTTGCCCGGCGTCTCACATGCGGGGAGAGTGATGGTGACTGGAGGAAGCTTGACCTCAACGGTAGTTGTCTTGGCGGGGCACTTCTTAAGGCACTCGTTCACATCGACATACTTGGTGACTACTTCTTCAACAGTGACGATGTCGGCCGGCGGACCGGCCTGGACGGGAGCCACGAGCATCGACGCAGCGAGCGTCGCACCCGTGACCCATGCCGAGGCACGGTTGTAGCGAGAGCTCGCCATATTGATCCTCACACAGCCCGGGTACCCGTGCTGTCGGAGGTCAGTAGGGAAGGGCAAAAACAAAAGAATGAAAAAGCCGTGGCGGTTGACCAGGAGGGAACGGGTCCTCCAGACCGGTCCAAAGCGAACTCCTTATATACACAATGCCTCCAAGCATTGACGGTAGAATGCCGTGCCGTGCCAAACGCGATGGCCGCAGAGTCAAAATTATTACCAATTCAGGGAATCTACCAACTTGGAATTCTCTCTCGTGATCTGAATCAGGAACCCATAACCGCGCCGGGACGTTGGGCTCTGCCACACAAACTCTGGCCGCTCCCGGTCTTCCGCAGCGCTGTCGAAGGCGGGCACTCCCTCAGAGCGTCCCTCAAGAGGGCAAGATGATCTGGGCGACCCTCCCTCGGAGGCTGTTCCTGGGCATGAGACATGTGGAAATTGGGTTTGTTCTTCATCCGTCCCGGAGCCTCGAGAACCATCTCTATTGACGGAAGCATTCCAACAGAAATTCACCCCCTCTTCACCGAAAAATTGTGGTCATTTGATTAAGAAATCTTGCATCATGGCCAGCCGGTGGCGATGCCCTCTAGCGATGCAATGTGCCGTCCCCCCCACCGATCAGCCGTTGGAGACCGCCAAGTAGATTACCAAGGGCGCTGAGCTCGGCTCGGGATAAGTGAGCACAGTTACAGGAGCGTAAATATGAAGGATATCTCAAGGGAAGGTGCACTTGAACGAGCGCGGCCGATCAAAAGGGTGCCGCTTCGAGCTCTTGTCCGGAGGTCTGATCCGCGGATGCAGCAAACACTCTCACGATTGCACCTCTTGGCCCCCGTTAGCAGTGTCGATGAGGTGCTTGCAACACTTGAATAATAGCATATCGACCCGGGGCAGGAACAGATCGATGCAGTGGGCAGGAATGGGCAGCCGGGATGTCTCCGCTAGCAGCGTTGAACGTTACCCGCATGGCTCCCGTCACTGATTGCGGTGTCTCACGGTTGACATGCAAACGCGCGACCGGCCAATGGCAACGGTGACGGTAAGGGTCTCAGATACACTGTTTCTGATGATCTGAACACGATCTCTGGTCAACGGTGCCCCAGTGCAGCGCAGGGACGTTGATGCACCGTTCGCCGAGCCCGTCCCGCATGCAAGAGGGCGTTAGACGAGAGAGGGAGACCATGGCGATATCGATACATGTCCAAAGGAGCAGATGAAAGCAGTTACTTATGAATTCAACATCTGAAGTTTTGGTTGTCGATGTCTAAGGTAAAAAGGCGAGACCAGCAAACAGGCAGGACCTACCAGGCAGTCAGTGTAGCACGTGATTTGATTTCCATCCATAAACCCACAACAGACATCCAGCTGACTGGGACGAGCATCACACAACAGATGAAAGTCCATATCATCGCCCTTCCATCCCCACTAATCGCATTTCATCCCTATTCACATAATCTCTTGACTAGGAAATACAGAGAGCTCTTCCCTCGACTAGATTCAAGCACCCAATAAATAAATACGGGCACCCCCTCCCTTCCCGGGACCGTGTTTGGCCAGCGACAGATCGTCGGTTGATGGAACGAAGGGCCCAAGACACCCGAGGACGGTGTATGTTTATCAAGGTTCCCTTTCGAAATCCTAAAACTCAAAAGGGCAAAGACTGAACACGTCTCGACCGTTTGCTTCCGCTCTCTCCAGCAACGGGAGAGGATGTAGTGTCCTCACCTGGAGGCTCGGTCTAGAACACGGCTCTGCCAACCCCGGATGTGTAGTATGGCACCAGATAGTTCTACCTCTCCTTCGAGATGATTTTCAGGCCTCCTTTCTCCTTCCGACGGCAAAAAGAACAGACGCAACAAGGGCAAAAAACATACAACAGCCGGTATTCGCTGGTCGTCACCGACCCAACTACTAATCGGCCCCTCATCCGTTTAACTAGGCGAGAGCGGACGGGATCGCGTGCTTTCGAATGGGTATGGTCGTATGTGGTAGGTGAAGCTATCGTGAGGGCTAAATATCCTACGCAAGACTCCACCACCAAATGACAAAAAAACATACAACAGCGGGTATTCGCTGGTCGTCACCGACCCAACTACTAATCCACCCCTCATCCGTTTAACTAGGCGAGAGCGGACGGGATCGCGTGCTTTCGAATGGGTATGGTCGTATGTGCTAGATGGCATGGCGTAATCGTAACAAGACAGCCAGTTCGGTCGAACGTTCCTGGTGTGGTGGTTCCCATTCTCCGGAACCAAACATGCCACACAGAACCCGCCTACACTCCCCCAATGTCTCGGAAGAAACCACGTACGTGCAAGTATTGATATAATACTGCTTCCCTACAGTCGTGAGACCAGCAACGTTCATCTAGTTGCGGTGGGAAGAAACAAGAACGAAGGTACGTCATAATGATAAACCCAAGGATCGCTTTCCCAGGCTCGTGTGATATTATCCAGCACCGTGGGTTTTATGTTTCACCCCGGACAGTGGCACAATCTACCCATCTCCAGGGTCTGCACAGCCGTGGACGCGGCGTGTAATCACAACCCCAAGGAGGCGTATCTGCTTGGAATGCGAACTAAATGAAGGTCACGACGGTATCCATCCTGCTAAACAACTGTGATTGGGAGCCGAGCGCAGAACAGCCAGCACTGCCAACTCAGCGGATGCGGTTCCAAGTGGAAGCCAGCATGCGGGCCTTCTTTATGCTTATTACGGTAGTTGGAAGGTCTTGGCGGAAAGAGGATGGACGCCTTCGAACCTTTCCCTGTTTGTTTTCGGTCCCTGAGTGGTCTGTGGCCGTATTCAAAGACCCCGGAAGCATGGTGCTCGCAAGCAAATGAGCTGGCGAAGTGTCCAGCACACCCAACGCCAAATGGTGCTACCCTAGAGCTACGATCGTGATATCAATTTTCCTGTCCCCCAGGCGTGAATGCTACATTCCGTTCATTGATGAAGAACTGCGTTGAATATGCCTTAATGTTGGAGATTTCATAGAGTTTTGCTATCGCATCAATTAGTTCATCGGTCATGTATCGCCACGTAGAAAGCTATTCCAGGTTATGTACCTGTCCAATACACCAAACACGGCCATCCAAACCAAAGAAGCATCTCCACGTTGTACATTACTTCACTCGTCACGAAATACTTGTCACCATATATTCCAGATAAAATGCTTTGACTTTGGCCAGAAGATTGTACTATACAAATTGATCTGGACCCATCCACGAAATACAAGGTAGATAGGGTACTCTCTCTTGCATCTCCACACTTGCATCTCTCCACGAGACTCTAATCTCTATATACTCTCCAAGCCAGACCACCAAAAAAAATGACAGTCCGGCCACTACTCCCTCCTCTACTCCTGCTCCATGCCAGGCTCAAATGACGATGCCAATTAGAAACTGTATTATCTGAGGGGCAACGGGGAGCGAACTGGCCCACCCCCCAACATGAGCTAGGAAAAAAAGCGCAACATTGAAGTTGATTAAAATAAAAATACCCTCTTTATGCTAATTTCGGCCGTTTTCTCATTCAATCATCCCCCCTCGCTGGACGAAAAATCCCCAAACCATCTGCGTAGAAGGGGAGAAGCGCCAAAGGAGAGGGGGAATGCTTGCGTGTCTATGTATTTCACTCAAAAGGTAATTTAGAAGCGGTGCTGGCGGCCAACGCTCTCGACGCGGACGCCGAGCTTGGTCATCTCACGCGAGTCGATGACTCCGCGGCCGTCAAACACCCAGCGCGGCTTGGCCATGGTGTCGGCGATGCGGACCCAGTCGAGGCGCTCCTTGGCCTTGTACTCCTCGGCGCTGCCCATGCCGGTGGCGAAGCCGGTCTCCTTGCTGGAGGCCTGCTGGAGGCAGTCGGGGCAGTCCTCGGGGCAGGCGGGCTCGGGGTTGTAGCGGCCCAAGGGGTCGCTGGAGGTCTCGCCCTCGCGCTGGAGGAGGTGCTTGTGCAGGGCGAGGACGTCGTTGGCGGAGGGCTCGGGGCGCTCGAACGGCCGGGGGTCGGCCTTGGGGTTGGGCTTGCGGCCGATCATCTTGACGGTGTGGTCGGGTGCGGGGACGGCGGGCTTGGGAGGAGGCTGGTTGCGGAACTCGTCGAACTCGGTGGCGATGACGACGGCGGTGCTCTTGTCGCAGGCGTCGTAGGCGTTGCTGTAGACGACGATGTTCTTGAGCTCGTCGACGTCGCCGAGGAGCTGCCTGATCTCCTCCTTGATGACGAGGGGGTTGCAGCAGGGGTCGAAGATGGCGATCTCGCGGGGGCGCTCCTCGAGGAGGGTCTTGACCATCTCCAGGGCGGGGGCCTCGCGGGTGTCGGACGTGTTCTTCTTGAAGGCGTAGCCGAGGATGGTCACCTTCTTGCCGACCAGGGTGTTGTTCAGGCACTTGATGACGCGATTGGTGAAGCGGTCGCGAGCGTACTCGTTCATCTTGACAACCTGGCGCCAGTACTCGCCAACCTCGGGAAGACCCATGGTGTCGGCCAAGTAGACGAGATTCAGGACGTCCTTCTTGAAGCAGCTGCCACCGAAACCGATACCGGCGACAAGGAACTTGTTACCGATACGAGGGTCGACACCGACAGCCTTGGCCACCTCGTCGACATCAGCACCAGTCTGCTCGCAAACAGCGGAGATGGAGTTGATGCTGGAGATACGCTGGGCCAGCATGGAGTTGGCGACCAGCTTGGCCAGCTCAGACGACCAGACGTTGGTCGTCAGGATGCGGTCGCGGGGGACCCAAGCATTGTATACGTTGACGAGAGCCTCGGCAGCCTTCTTTCCCGAGGGGGTGGGGGCAGAACCGATCAGGATACGGTCGGGGTAGAGCAGGTCGTTGACGGCGGTACCGGCAGCCAAGAACTCGGGGTTGGACAGAATCTCGAAGTGGACGCCGGGGCGGTGCATGTTGAGCTGAGCAGAGGGGGGATGGTTAGATCCTGTAATTCCTCTCGCATAGACCTTTCACAGATATATAGATTAGGGACTTACAGTA